ACATGGCACTAACTGGGTACACAAACGGTGGTACGTTCGTTTTGTAATAGTCATCGGCACAAAGAAGTGAACAAGATACCGCCATTAATACGTCAGGATGATAATTATGCGGTTTTCTCCATCGACAAGTGTCCGTTTTTCGACTTTGTCTGCAAACGGTACTCTTATACGGTGCAGAACACGTCGTAATATGCGGTAGCTGCTTTCTGAGCGTATACAAGTTGTACAAAAGTATAATGATAATTATAATAGCCGCAATAATCTATAGCTCGTACGCATTTGGGTAATGTGTACAATTATATTTCAGTTACTCCGGTGGTTTCGGTGGAATTGGAGGCCGTTGCCGCGAATTCTGACACGGGCTGAATGGCGTTCAAGTCGCCCGACTATCACTACTGGCCGGCGTGCCGCCCATTATGTGCTGCTGCTGTTGCTTGCCAACCATCGAACCTTTTTTTTTTTCTTTACCGCTTGCCGAATATCCGTTTCGAAAACGCATAATTATTATTGAAATAATCGTTAACACAATTAATAAAAAAAAAAACACCGTCCAATTATCGCGTTGTGTTGTGTGCGTACAAAACGACGGACGTTTTCGTACACGCACAGAGAATGCCACTCATTCCTTGTAATTAACAAAATGATTTATTCGCTCATTCTTTAAACAGCCAAACTTGCAGCCGCGTGGAAGCAACCGTCTGGTAAAGCCTACGGCAAGTGTTTCACGACGCACCTATTATTATCATTATATTATTTACATTGTCCCGCCTATCAACGTGTATTATTATTGTAGTCATCTTCTTTAACACTTTTTGATTTTCAATAATTACAATGATAATAAATCCAAAACTTTCATCGGCCGAAGAACAGTAATGTATTCGAGTCCTCTGGGAAACAGTGTACTCGTTGCGATCACTACGGGAACGTTAGAATTTTTGCGCGTTTCCCTCTCTACAACAATCTGAGATAAGATTTAATTAATTCGTTTTTACTCGGCCCGTCTTCGTCACTTGTCTAGATTGTTTTTTTTATTTTTGCTTGCTGTGCAAACCGAGCGTTGTTTTCAAACACATCGATTAATAATTCGCCTTTTCGTACCTGTCGGTTCACGTTTAATAAATAACTCGCAACAATATTTTGATGTATTTTTACGATGGCTACTAGGAGAAGAGGAGACGCGGCGATTGTCACAGCGGGACTTGTAGATTACAGCGCGTTTAAAACACCTAGGGATATCATTTTACTCGGTACGCCTTTTGTAGTGGAGCCAACGTACCCAGAACTCGGTAATTTCAATGTCGTGTCCTCTTCGCGACCGGCCCAATATTTTCCGTAGGTACGCGTTTATTTGAAATCGGACACCGTCAGTCGCGACGGGCGCTCGTAAAAGTAATTACACGTTGAAAAACCCAACCGGAGAGGAGAAAATAAAAACAAAAATTGGTTTTGTCTTTACCTCGTGCGCGTCGGTGTGTAGGTCATTGGGTTGTACGCGGAACTTTCGACCCGTTCCGCTTGGGTACTTATCAAATTTCTAATCGTTTTATCTGTTCGCTATCGCGACTGGCTCGCACGTACGAAATTCCGATAAACGCGGAAGACCCGAACGATCGATAACAACACCGTGACCCGGTAAACATGCGGACATTTTTCTATGGGCCGGACTGAGAGTGCATACGACTTGACCGATCGATGGGTGTACCGATGGGGCTGTGGATCCCATTTGTGGGCAAAACCTGAGAGCAAGAGAACGAACGGGGCGGACGCGACCAAACCGTGTTTGTTATTATCAAACAACGCGTTTTCCCATTGTTGTTACAGTCCAACGTGGTGTATAATTAGAGTGGCAGCAGCAGAAGAATACGGCGGCCGAACGGTAATAAAACGTGCATTGCTCTCTTTTTAATTGATCTTCGTTGCGCAGCGCCGTTTTTTTTTTTTTTTGTTTTCAACCGTCCGATATCCGAACAATGGTTTTGCTATGAATTTGTATTTTTATTATCGTGTTTCTGTCGCCGTTCGACTTCCACTAGCGCACTCACTACTTTCTACCGCCGTACACGGAGCTGCCAACATTTTGGGACCCACTGCATTGCTGTGCATACACACACATATACCGTGTCGGGTCAGCTAAATAGGTATACGGAAAACAACGTGCGCTTGGGCATGACGACGGGCACAGCCGGTCGGTGCACAGGACCGGTTTGATCGATGAACATCATCCGCGTTTTGGACCACATTGGCCATGTACCGAGTACGTGGTTACCGCGCGATGACGGGCTGTCGTGGAATTCCTCCCACCCTAAGCGATCAGGTGGCCGCTAAAGACCCTCAACTGCGGGATTATTGAAAATGAAAAAATGCCGTTTTGATTTATTGAACGTCGCGCATGTGTAATAAAACTAATTGAAGACATTACGCGGGGAAGGAAATGGCGAATATAAAAAAGGGGTGCAACCCCTTGGCGATAGGACGCATTGGCTTAGGGTGAGCGTTTCTCGTGTCCGGAAACATGGCGGATCCTAACTAATAACTTCCACGTGCGTTTTCGAACGCTTTCTTTTATTTTTGTTCGATTCCCTTATTGGGTAGAGTGGGTAATTCGTTTTTAAAAACGCGCCTCTTTGTGTTAAACAACAGTGTGTTTTTTACCCCCAACCCGTTTAACCCGGCGTGTATTCATTATTGTCGGTACCTGACCCTGAAAACGACGTTTGTATACCTCACAGCGTCGTCCTCTTATATTATAATTTGTAATACACCTATTTCTCGATGAGCACCACCTATAAATTATTATCATTTAGACACATTGTTGCGTATGTACGTTTGTTACCGTTAACACGTGAGAAATGTAATTATATTAAAAACTATTAGTTTCCAAACCCGTCCGCGTGTGTGCGCCGTTGTTGTTATGTTGTCGTGGGGAACACTCGATTGTTCTTTGATTAAATGATGGATTCGCCGACAATGATTAAGCTCAAAAACCGTACAAGATCGAATCTCTCGGTGTATAAAAAAAAGTACATTTTAATCGCATTAAAAAAAAAAAAACACTGCACGCGCGTACGCTTATTGTGTTCCTTTGAACATCTTCGTGTCCATTTAATATAACTTAACCTTTTTTAATTGTTCTTGGAAATCCCTTTACAAGATTATTATCACCCCGTGATCGATGGAATAATTATTTCCGTGGACCCACAATGTCGCCGTCACACATGATTTTCAACCGTTTTCAGATAAACCGTACAAAGTCATTTCCATAGAAATATTATCTGCAAGCAACAAAAAACTACAAAAATAGATACGGTGGCGACACTCGCAATACTGTAGTAATGACTACAGAGGCGACAAGGACGTGCGAGCAGGTAGTCGATATGATTAATGGAAAGTACACCATATGGATCGTTAACGTTGCCCGTAGGACGTTAATGTAATGTTGTCTTATGATCTGAAAATACAAAATCATCATTAGTCCGGGCAATATATGTTCCCCTACGACCGCGATGCAGATATTCCACTTGTTATTGTTGTTTTGTCTTTTCATTTGTAACGTTGTGTGTAATTGTCGTTAGGCACTAGAAACATTCTTCAGGTGTGAACGTTTTCCGCCCTCTCGACGGCGACGTTAACGACTGCATCGTTCGTCGCTCGTTCTCTCCGTCAACTGGGCCACTTTTCGTGCTGTGCAGCATCATCGTAATGATAATAATAATAATAATAATGATAATAATAATATCATACACGAGTACGTTGGTTGCGCGTTGCACATAGCGGACAGACGACCGCGAGTGCGACGGAGATCGAGGAGATGCACACCGTAAAAAGAGAAAAAAATCCCCCGCGCCTCCTCCACCGCTAATCATACTTGGCTGCGGCAGCAATAAATTGCCCGGTCTAAACAGCGCCAAGGATCGTTGCCCAACGTGTTATTACTGTTCCGCTAATCAGTTTGATCATACAGGCATAACAATCATCCGTCCACGTCGTTATAATACTGACCCGACGGGGCAAACCCTAGAGAGAAAAAAACAAAATCATAAAAAATATTTTATGTTCGTATAAAAATACTCGAGAGCAGATACTCGCGTTATGATATTGAATAATTTCAGTGTTGTGTATCGTTTGGAACACTTGCGTACTCGCTTTTTATTATAAATCATATCGAGCGAAGGAGGTTGGCCTAAGGTGCGAAGAACTAGTACGCTACTTAGCCGCGTCGGCAATTCGTGTAACCGTTTAAGGGGTTACGAAAAATCGAAACTTGGATCGACCGTATTTTTTTGTCGTGAATTATTGATAGCAGCAAAACTGGAACGGACAGAGTTCTGTTACCACCTTATCGTAGGTCGCTTCCTAAAACGGTGGACCTAAACGAAAATCTGACTGGAAAATAATCTCTTTGGAATATCTCGGAAGTTTTTACTTGGATACCGCATAATAAACGTCAAAATTAATCGAAATAATAATAATAATAATTACACTGCGGTATCTGCCAACGTGTACTCACAATGATCAATGGGCCGCTGCCACGATGTATGGCGTTTTGACACTATCTGATATCACATTCGTGTGGTTGTTCTTCTATCCAATAGGATAGCACCGGGTTAAAATCATCTCGACGACCTTATACCGCAGACCAGATGAAAACTATATTTTAATATAGTCGGTGCTTGTAACATAGCAAAATAGATAGTTACTAGATATATTGTACTCGCTCTCTTGGAGCACCACCACATGTGCGCGCACACGTATTATTATTTCCTATGATGTTATGTTCTTATTCATTCGTTATCATACCGTATCGGACTTGTATATACGCTGTGATGCACCGAATGATTAATATCGATGGACTTTGTGTATTTATTTTTTACTTTATTTCATCACACTCGTTTTCTACAATACCTTTTTTTTTTTACTCGTGCACCTCGTGTATAAAAAATACATAGTTTAATCTTAAAACTAGAGAATGTCTTCTTATCAATACAAATAATAACAACAGGTTTAAATTAATTATTTTTGTTTTATTTCACTGAACAATCGTTTTTCTTAACGAATTTCAGTCAATTAAATTAACAAACACTATATCACAACAATTTTCTAATATCTAGAAATTATAGTCTTCTTACAAAAAAAAAAAAAAATAAATAATAATTAAACAAATGAAAAAATGGCATTTCTCCGTCGTTTACAAACATGTTCTATTTTTGAAAATTTACAAGTCTGGCTATATATAAATGTATTTAAAAGACCAAAAGTACATAAAATATCTTAGACTAGGTAACTAACCCCGCGACATACAGTTAAAATCGTTGTTATAAATATAACTATAAACCTTTTATGATAACATTAATTTTATTAATAATGTATACATGTGTGTATATAAATAAAAATATTTTCTTTTTTCAAGTTAAATATAATTTATTGTAAAAAAACATCATAGTAGAAAGTATACAAATATCGGTTTATAGTTAATTATTCAAATTGATTTGATTAAAATACTTATATTTTATGTACTCGGAATTTTTTAGTGTTGAAACGAAACAATGAAATTCAAGAAACAAATAATTTCTATCCTAATAGTAATGACTCGGAGTAGGACTCTAATATGTTATTTACATTAATCTTTATACAAAATAAAAGTTTATAATAAGAGGTTATAAAAAAAAAAACATTTATTACAAAATAATTATGATTATTCAGGAATGGTTGGCATTCTTGGCCACGATTTTGTACACTTTACAATTGGATTAAAATATAATTATTAAATTTACAGTTAAGTCACTAGGTATCTAATATCACAAATGTGTTTTTAAGTTATAAAGGCAACATAAGTATTCATACCGTATAATTATCATATGTGAATGGCAAGCGGTCTTGAATAGTTGTTGTGTACACCCCTGTGGTGGTGATGGTGATGGTGATGATGTTTGTGGTTGAAGTTTTTCGGCTTCTGGTTGTTTGGCACGTCCGGAAGCGCGAACTTGAGCTTCTCCCAGAAATGTTTGTCGCCCCATTGCAAGTACGAGTTGGTCTTGAGGTACAGACGGATGTCCGGGTCGAGATCTTTGTTGGGCACCTCTCCCAGAAGTATAACTATCAGTCTCTTCCTCTTGTCCCGGAGCACCTGATGATGGGCCGCCTTGAATTCGTACCTGCACCATTCCGATTTGATGAAGTTTTCGGACAGCACCATGATGGTGCGTTTGGACGACTCGACGGCTTGGGAAATGGTGTCGGTAATGTAACCACCTCCGGGGAACTCTCTGTAGTGCAAGCACAACTTGTACGACGGATCGCCGTTTTCCAGAATAGGCGCCAACTCCTCGACAACGAACGCCTCGTCCTTGGAGCTGTAGCTGACGAACGCGTCGAAGAGCTTGTCGCGTTCGTCCATCTCGAACTCGGTGTTCTTGCAGAATATGCGGACGCCGAACCGCGAGTGGCACCACACTTTCATTTCGTGACGGAAAACGTACACCATCATGGCGGCCACGACGATGAAGAACACTGCCGAGAACGAAACTATCAATATGGGTACGTAGTCCTGGAAGTCGGTGCGTTGAACTATTGTTTTTGTGGGCACCGTCAGATTGCCGCCGTTCAACGCCCCTTCGATAGAGTTGGACGACCCGTTGAACTGTTTTTCGTTCATCGGCGTGGTCGGTCCGCACGCCGTCGTGTTGTCACTGAACATGTAAAAACCGCCCGAGTGATCGATGCACCGCACCTGTTCGTCGTCGACGACGGCGTCGGCCGCGTACTGCAGGAACTCGCGCATTTGTTGGACGAAATCGCAACTGCAACTCCATGGGTTCTCGGCCAGCGTGAGCTGAGTCAGCGTCGGCGACAACCGCCACACCGGGAACTGAGCGATACGGTTGTGGTCCAATCGCAAAACGGACAGCTGCTGCAGGAACCTGAACGTAGTGCTGTTTATGTACGTAATCCTGTTGTGATTCAAGTACAGTTCCTTTAGTTTGTCCAAACCGTAAAACTCGTCGCCGTACAACGTTGAAATGCGGTTATCGTCCAAGTGAAGAACTTCGAGCTCCTTTAGGCCGAGGAACGTGCGGTTTTGTACGCNATGAAGAACTTCGAGCTCCTTTAGCCCGAGGAACGTGCGGTTTTGTACGCGCTCCACGTTGGACGAGTTCAGATAAAGGACCTTTAAAATTTTGCGGCCCAAAAAACTGTGCGAACTCAACGTTTTAATGGTGTTGCCGTCCAANCTGTGCGAACTCAACGTTTTTATGGTGTTGCCGTCCAAGTAGAGAACTGTGACGTTCATCGGTATTTTGTCGGGCACGCGGTTCACGTAACCCGCAATGGAACAGTCGACAACGTTCGAAGCGGAGCTGACGCTGTGAAAACAAGTACAGTTGGTCGGGCAGATCATTTTGCAGTCGCAGGCGTCGAAATCGCAGCAGTCGCAAGTGCTGCGTTTTGCGCATTCCATTTCGTATTGGCAGAGGAATTGATCTTCCGACGCCTCTTTCAACAACACCCGAGACTCGCCGCGGTTGTAGATCACTTCGCAAGTGGCGGTGTCCAAGTCGACCAACTTTGGCTTGTTTCGGTCGGGCTCGACGCTGTACGATTGCAGCCATTGCATTGAACAATCGCAAACGAACGGGTTGTTGCCGATTTGGAACTGAGGCATTGGTCTCCCCGGCGGTATGGTCGATATCCTCAGCGACTGAGGGTTGAGCGTCTTCAGTCGGTTGCCGGTCAAGTCCACTTGAGTGAGATTGGGTTTTTTGAAAAAAGCGTACGACTGAATTTTCGATATCTGATTGTTGGACAAGTATAGATTTTGTACTTTGTCCGGAATGGAGCTGCCGGTGATTTCGGTCAGCTTGTTGTTGCTGGCGTCGAAGCCGGTCAATTGGGTTTCCAGTTCGTAGTGGTTACCCAACTCGGTGATTTGATTGCCGTGCACGTCTAGCCATTGCAGGCCGTTCGGTACGAGCGCGTAGTCGAACCACTCCAGCAAGTTTTCCGAAATGTTGAGCCAAACGAGATTGGACAGTTTGGAGAACAGCCCGCTGACGTCACGCAAGTAATTGCCGTCCACCCTGACGGCCACTAGACGCGTGTTGTTGTCGAAAGTGCCGGCATCGATTTTGTGTATTTTGTTGTTGGCCAAGTTGATCAGATGTAGTTCGGGCAGACGATCGAAAACGCCTTTGGACACGTTTGAAATTTGATTTTTCAAAAGTTTCAATCCGATCAGCTGGTTCATGACCGGGAACGACGTGTTGTAAATGTCCGTGATCTGATTGTAACCCAAGTCGAGCGTTTTTAAATTGGGCACGTTGTTCAACACGGCCGGAACGTCGTACAATTTGTTGCCGTTCAAGTGCAGGTACTCCAAATCGGTAGAGTTCCTGAGCGCCTCGGGATCGATGTACTGTATCTGATTGTTGTCCAGCGAAAGTTGATTTAACGAGGGCAACCCGTCGAACGTATACTGATCGACGCGAGTCAATTTGTTGCTGGACAGCACCAGCGTTCTCATGTCGGTCAGCGAGGAGAACATGTTCTCCGGTAAAAACTGTACGCCGTTGTTGTCGAGACGCAACGACCGGAGACGGAACAGATCGCGGAAGATCATCGAGTCCAACTTGGTGATGTTGTTGTTGGACAGGCTCAAAATCACGAGGCGGACCAGGCCGGTAAACGTGGCCGCGTTTACCCATTCTTCGGTCAGCTGGTTTTCGGACAAGTCCAAAATCAACAGCTGAGACAAGTCGTTGAAAAGGCCGGGCGCCAGCACGTTGATGGAATTGTTGTTCAAGTACATCTCGTGCAAGTCGCGCGAGTCGGCGAACAGTTCGGGAGCTAAGTTGACCAGTCTGTTGGACGCCAGGTTCAGGACGTTCAGCGCGGATAGGCCGTCGAACCCGTGGTCGCCGATCACGGACAACACGTTGCCCTGCAAGTACAGCTCTTGTAAGTTGGCCAAATGCGAGAACACTTGCGAGTTGACGGAATCGAAATTGTTGTAGGACAGGTCGAGTACGGTCAGGTCGGCGCCGCACTTGTGTTGGCCGGACGAACCGAAGTGGAACAACTCCAAGTGTCTCAGCCGATTTCGCGTCAAATTCAGGTACATTAAATTCTGCAAGGAGCAGAACACGCCCTCGGGCAGCTTGACCATGTTGTTGTGGCTCAGGTCCAGCCGTTCCAGCATGCTGAGCTCATCGAGAAACGTGTCGGACTGCAGTTGCATGCTGACCGACGGCCAGTCGTTGTTGTGGGTAACGACGGTGAGGTTACGCAGTTGTCTCAGGCCGCGGAAAGACTCGGGCGACAAGTTGTTTAATTTACACGACTCGATGGACAGCTCTTTGAGATCGATGAGCGTTTGGAACGTGCCGATGCCGAGCGAGCTGAGCAAGTACAGCTGCCCGTTGCACTCGATCTTCAGCTTGACCGTGTACTGCGGTTGTATTATACTGAAATTGGTCTTTTCCAGCTCGGAATTCATAGTGCGCACCCGGCAGTGCAGGGCCACTTCTTGTTCGTCGGACACCGTCTGGGACATGATGGACTCGTCACCGTACGCGGTAACGGCCATCCACTCGCACTCGTTGGGCGGTTTGTGCCGCAAAGTCTTGCTGAGCGAAGCAGACATGACCAACAGCACCGAGCTCATTAGCACCGTAGCGTACGTCAGAGCCATTGTACGCGATATTATGGCGACGGCGGGAAAAAAAAAAAACTAATAACACTTTTTGATCACCTGAACACCATTAGAAAAATCGACGAATGTCAAACGACCGCCGCGAGAGACATCAACGAACAATTATAACGACAATGACTTGTTTTCATCGCAACGACACTTGAACACTCACGGACGCACTGAATAATAGCAACGACATTGTAATAATATCCATTATAATAGTTAATCCAAAACTGACGATATATGACTACGAGCACCAAACACTGACACGCACGCGTATGTGAACCAAATCGGACGGTCGGCACTCGAAGACTGAAAACGTCTCGGAGGACTGGTTGCCGTCTGTACGGTGCTCGTCGCTGCCGCCGCCGTTTCCCCTTCCACGACGGTGTACAGTATAATGGTCCGCACATGCATACAACGAGTCTCACCGCCGCCGCCAGGGTCGTCTTGTTTCCACAGCGGTCTGTTCTATTTGCCCTGGTACGTTCGGCCGGTACAATTTTAACACCTACTTAACATAAGGGCACCCCTTCCCTACGTGTACAACAATATTTGTGGTGCTGCTGCTGCAGCAGCACTACATCATAGTCCTAACTACATCAGTTGGCCGCGTTCGTCTCGACGAGGTGTTGTTACACTAGTACGATACATACTACGAACGTGTCGTCTAGAGATACTCAAATGTTATTAGTGTTTAACATGCAAAACACTTGGTAAAATGTAAAAATCACAATGTTTTGACTAAACGCGCGTTAAAAAAACCTACAAACGGTTACAAATTTTTTTTTTTTCTTAAAAACCACACTCTAGTCGTTTNTGGTTACAAATTTTTTTTTTCTTAAAAACCACACTCGAGTCGTTTATTTGCGCCGTCAACGACGGTGCGTAATGAACATGACGAGTGGATGCTGTCGAGTTGACAAGTCGTTGAATTATTATTAAAAAGCAACGTGCCACGATAAACAATAATACGACTACGACGTTGTACATAACAATTTTTTTTGTAAGTCTTTGGCGATCGGACTTATCGGCGCTCGACGTCACATTTAAGTCACATGAAAGAGAGCGCACCGTGTCGTTAAGATACTTCTCAGCGTGTGTTCCAATCGATTTGGATACTAAATTTATTTTAACGATAATACCGCCTATTGGTATTATTATTACAACTCGGGGATAATTAGAAAATTCCTCGGAGTTATCGTCTTTCTTGTGTGCTGATATTATCGCCTGTAAAATACATTTGTACCAGCTAGTGCGTATAGTATCACATATTTTTTTTATATTCAGTCAGAAAGTTTTGCAATTTGAACTTCGATAAAGAGATGTATAAGATTCGTACTGCCGTAGTAAACGTGATAACGACTACAGGGATAATGTAAATAAAAAAATCAAACGGGGGCACGTGTGAATGTACAAATGTTTTGCAGATATCTTGCAAAACGTATCTCTAAATGGACATTAATTTTGTACTCTATTATGTCAAATATTGTAAGATTAAGCTATTGTAATACTGCTGCAATATGCAACATAATTGGACAACGTTTGCAATATCGATTTCACCTGTCTGGATTTCTGGAAAATATTTACTTTCCCGGTCCGTCCCGCAGCTCTGACCGATGTTCCTTTATTTAATTTGACGTCTATATATTATCATTACTTTTGAACCGATCGTAAAGGAGCCGGCCGTCGATTTGGATTTTCAAAAGACGCGGAACGAGTACCGCAGTGTTTAACATACGCTGGGCTCTTATTGTATGCAACGGGACCCGAAGGCGGAATGAAAAACTGCTCACTGTACCCCCACCCCCACCCCACTCCGGGCTATATTTCATCCTACGACCCGTGCTAAAAACGCCTGTGCGACCGACTACCACCTGAACGGTCGACGTTGGACCAGGTGACGACTGCGCTCCGACACCGTCTGAACATAATAATATATTTTATACAGTTAAAAAATGCATTTTTAAAACCCTAACCACCGCGGTAGTGTTTATGATTTATAACGGATCGGACGGACCCTCTTGCGCGTTCATATCATTAGACACGAAATTAGCGCGGTGTTTTTTACGGCCCATAATTCACCCGTTTTTAGACGCATCGGATAAAAATAGATTAATGCCGATTCTTACCGTGCGAATTCTTCGCCGTCGCGTCGGTGACGAGCACGACGAATCGTTTTCAATGGGCTTTTATAGGGTCGGTAGACTTTTACTGTGGGAGGTCGAATACTAATGTACTGAACTTACAGCTGACAGGATTCAGCTGTTGCAGTCGTTTTGAAAAAATAACAATAAACGGGTTTTTAATGTGTAAAAAATACCTCGACTAATTTCATCTAGAAATACATTTGTAAAAATAAAACCGATTGTTTGTTTTCTGAACTTTTTAATTTACTCATTTGTTGACTTTGGAGGGATGTTTTGTTTTTTCTATCGCCAACTAATGGCCAAACAGCAAACCCCCTCGACGGCGTCGGCTATAGGTTCGACTGGCCCCGAGACATAAGTGTGTTTGTAATTAAATAGATTGTTTTTTTATATTCGATCCGTTTTTTTTTTTTTATCGTATACGAGCTCCGTTTCCTCGGAGGCATCGTCGGGACTGCGGTGCGCATTGGTATGCCGCGGCCAAACGACAGCGATCTGATAACGATATTATAATGCTCGGTTGTCATTAAACCTACTGCACGTGGGCTTGTGTAATTACAATGCGTATGGGAGGAGTTAACGATGTCGACAACCTTATAGGTAAAAAAAAAAAGAAGAAAATAAACATGGAAATAAGAAGTATACCGAACGTTCCTCCGGGGGGGTAATTAACGGCAGGGTGTATCGTTTAACAGAGCCCGTAACGAACGGCACAAGTTCAAGCACACCGGCCGACGTTCACTCGGTCTCGGCTCTTATGGGCTTTTGGTAGTTGCGTAACAGAATACCCGTCAATAACAATTTAACGGGCAGCCGGTCAGCACTTGTCTTCGTACTGGCCGTGTAAGATTTCTTTTGCTTTGTTATTGTTTACACTACGTACTGATGAATCGCAGACAAACGATTTGTTGGCATGTGTTTGATTGGGCGCAATTGTTGTCGGTCGAGTAATTCAACACCGGGTCAGTTATTTTTAATCAATCGCGCAGAAATTCGATATTGGGTTTTTCCTAGAGATTTCAACGTCCGGTCGTTCCTCGGTAGCTTGTCGTGTCGGCTTGTCCGAGTGGTGGTGGCAAATTGTTTTTTGTTTGCGTTCATGTTGACAGGTAATAAAACGGTATTATCCGTTTGATACAAATCGGACGGACTTAATTGAAAACGAACTCCGACATAAACGCGTTTGGAGATAGTATAAAAAATAATCAGTTTCCAATTATTGAAAACGGTCGCCGCGGCTTTTTCGCTCGCAGATTTCAATTAACCTGTCCGTTTGCATAGGCGATCGGCTTGTGCGATTCTCTCGAGCGGAAAATTCTATTACCCTTCGCACATACGGTTGTAACAGCAGCCTATCCGATAAGCTCAATGCAATCGGTTCGGTCACGAATCCATGTCGGGGTGTACCTTTATAATAAGCACGAGGAGTGTATTTGTCAATGCAATCTGTTTTTATTTATACACTCGAACGCGTTACCCCTTTCGGAAGTCTAGAAATCCGATCATCACGCATCGTGTATCACTTTATTTTCTACCTCCGTTTTTTTTTTTTTTCTAACAGAAATCGCCCTGCCAGATGAGCTGGGATCTCTGCACTCATAGGCTGTGACTATATGGATTACCCGCCGGTATTTTGTCTCGGCCAAAAGCCCGTCCTATACAGAATTTGCATTGTGTGTCGATTGGTTTTTGATAAACGCGGAATACCGTAGGAGAACGCAACGACCTTAAAGGCGCTCTGGGCATACATAAATATTACAAAAAAAGATAATATGATGTTTGCATGGATATGAAAACCGGTGAGGTTTTTTTCCGCCTTGTGTGTATGATGTTATACGCTGATTTCCCTTAGTCGGCGGCGTGTGCTTATGGACACAAACGAATCGTGACCGAAAAGTCAACACAAAAAGGTCACTGGGGCCACATGCCAGTCCAACTNAAAAGGTCACTGGGGGCACATGCCAGTCCAACTCCGCCGTTGTCTACGTGATAAGTACCTTAAAGCTCGTCTTATATTTGTTTTGTTTCAACTGTGTGTAGTACACTACGTCGAAAACAACCGCAGTACATGTTGTATGGTTTTATAATTGTTCAACTTGAGTTGTTCAGCTTACACTGGAAAATAAAATCGTTGTAATTTTGTAGTGTGATTTAGTGTAATAAAATTTCAAATCTTGCTACAAAATATGTACTCCATTCATCATTTTAAAAAAATTGCATGGATATTTTTTGTTCAATGAAAAAACCATCAATTCTCTATAGGGCATTAAGGTGTCTTTTTATTTTGAGTGTATTAATATTTTTTTTTTTTAGTTTACTATTACGTGCCGGTGACGTTAGGTCCTATTTCCGATATAGTTCATAACAAACGGACAAACAATTTTTTATTGAGTTTCTCATTGATTCAATCGTGCTAACAAAAATACAATGGCTAACATTCAAAATCCACATATTTTGTAGACCAATTGTAAAATACATATTTCAAAAATGTTGCATTATATATATTTTTTTCATACTTACTTTTATGTAATTTTTTTTTATAAAAAGGTCATTCGCCATTTGACATTTTGCGGTCTAATCATGTCAATAAACCGACGCTTGCGATAGTTGCGTTTTTTAATGTTTAGTAATGTTCCATGATTTATTCGTATGTGTCCAACGTCGGCAATTTAAAACTATAATTTACCTGTTTCAAAAATTACAACCTTACTAAACCGTAAGGTTTCATGTATTAATGTAGTTTCAAAATTCAAACGTATAAATCAAATTATTTTGTTATACTTAGTATTTTTGCAACGATAATTAATTCCTGCTGCCGACCGTAAAACATGAAAGTTAGAAAAATATCTACGCAGTTTGAATTCTAAGTACAGGGCCTATAATTAGACAGTTTCTCTGCTAAGGTTTTTTCAGTTCATTCGAGCGTTTCCAAAGTCGATCTAGTTATTATTTACTCGTTATGAATCCATGCGGCTCTTTATTGTTTTACAATAGGATATAACGAAGCTCACATGACTACATCATTAAAGAATTCAAAAAAACCGAATCGTGTATCAATATCACATTGTTCAACGCTAGAACTTCAAATTTCATTAATCTGTACTGTGTCGTGCTGACAAAATTTGCAGTTTCATACTGTCTCACGTGTCTTACATTGCTAATATACACACACACATTCATCAGTC